TGACTTCAGGCCATCGATCAACTTCATAGTTAAATAAGATCTTTTCTTATTGAAGAAAACTGCTAAGCTTAGGTTTCAGTTAACTGGCTCTAGCTTTTTCATAACTTAGTTGTCTTAGACAAGTGACCTATGTCTGCAAAATCTCAGTTTTCTGTTTTGAAAAATGTTATAGGATCATTTAATGAGATATTAATTCTAATCTTGTTTTTCCTGAGGTAGGATGGACAATCATATTCTAGCCTTCCTAACCACCTTCTTTAGATTTCAAGATCCATTCTTAAGAAAATTTCTCAAACCAGTCCTTGTTTGAAAAAACCAAATTGTGTGTGTTTTTTTTTTAAATAAAGGAACATGCAATTACATCATAGTTGTGAGGATGGAGGGAAGCTAGAGCATTTTGAGGCAGAAAGAAGAAATAGTTGGAACTCTGTCTAAATCAAGTGGAATCCTAGCAGGTTCTGTGATCTGCTGAGTTCTGGTCATACTCCTTAGTTCTCAGCAAACAGCAAAATCCCCATGGTTCTGTCCACAGTATCATTGCTAACCCTCAGAGCAGTTTCTCAGCCTTGGCCTGTTGATATATTGGGCTGGATAATTCTTTGTTGTCAGGAGCTGTCCTGGCATTGCCAGATGTTTAGCTGCATCTCTGACTTCTACTCACTAGATGCCATTAGCACCTCCCCTCCAAACTGTGACGACTAAAAATGTCTCCTATTATTGCCAAATGCCTCCTCAAGGGCCAAATCCCCTTCACCCTGTGGAGAACCACTGGGTTACAGTAAATGTCAGAAGCTGAATTCTGTATTGAAAGAATGGAGGGCATTCTTTAAGCTGCAAAGTCACCTGCCTTTAAATGGGTCTCTAAAATTGAATAATAAGCACATAAAATGATGTACATACAGACTAAGTCCAGCTTCTCTAGACTAAACCTCAAGTTTATATCAGTCCCAAGGGTTGTGGGTGGAGGACTAGTCAGATGATTCTTCAAACCCTGGCAGGTAGTAATTAAGCTAGAATTGACTTGATTTAGAAAACTAAAGAAATGTAACAATTATTATATGTAAGTGTTATGGTGCCAGTTTGTACCTGTTATGTGTTTAAAAAAAAAACAAAAAAAAAACCGCCTTAGCAATGTTCCTAGTATATTGCAAAAAGCCAACAAAGTAAATGTGTTAGTATCATCCCTACTTTATAGATGAAAATGAATGACAAAGAGCATAAACAACCCTTCAAAGAAACAGAGCTAATAAGCAAAATGGATACTGAAATGAATTACTTCTTGTGGCCTTACTTTTTGTACACTGTTGCCCATGTTAAAGGCTAATTTTGTTGGAGAGCCTAGAAGGTACCACTTTATCTCCTCTCAGTTCAACTCAGAAAATATAGTCATCCATTATGATCCTAACACCCGTTTTAGTGATTTCAGGATACATGGCAAATATATAACCCAATTTAATTTTTTTGGAATTGAAGACACTTAAGTAGTAAAATTATGTATATAGACTACAGGCACTAGAAACATTCTAAAAAACTCAAAACGGATTGAGGTAGGTAAGGAAAGAGACATGGGATTTTAGGTAGAAACTTAAGAATAAGTAAAACAAGTAGAGAAAATTTAGGGAGAGACTTAGAGATCAGAAAAACAACATATATATTTCTGTGCAGAAAGACCCCATAATCTGGCACCGACATTTAATCTCTAGCCTCTGCTCTCTTTACAGCCCCCACAACTTTCGCTCTCCATACGCAGTCAAGCCTGCAAATACTATCCTTCAGACATGTCAAACCCTCTCTAGATTCACATCTTTGGTACAGGCTGCTCGCCTGACCTGCAATCATTCTGCTCACTCTGAGCTCTTAATTTAAAAATTTTTCCCTTTCAAATTCAAAATTCAAATTTACCTCCTCATATTTCCTAAGAAAATGCCAGCAACTTCCTCTTCTCTATTCCCAACACTGTCATAGCACTTACTATATTGTTTGGTTGATTTATATCTGCTATATGTGCCTATATGTGCTCCTAACCATGTGTCCAATGCAAATCTCTGATAAGTATACCTGTATTAATCCAGCATGACCCATAATTTTGTTCTACCTTTCAACTGAGCACCATCAAAGTCCACTTAGACAAATATTTACCAGACCCTTTAAATTCATTTTTAATTGCACAACTAAGATATAATTACAATTTCCTTTTACATTTTCAAAAACATTATATCTAAATCTAAAGTCCACTTTGACCTCCTCAGTCACAGTATCATTTCCCTTTCCTCTAGGTAATCAATATTATGTCTTTGGTGCATATCTCCTTTTTAAAAAAAACCTCAGTGTATGTGTGTGCGGTTTTAAATTATTTTATCTATTTGTTTTTATTTAAAGGTTATCATATTCCATGAACTGTACAATATAAAACTTTTAGTGTAATCTATGTTGATAGTTATAGATTGTATATTTTAATTCATAGACAGTATTCCATAAAATGTACATTTTGTGTCTTAAACTTCTTTGGAAAGATGTGTAGTTTGTTTTTAATGTTTTGATAACTTAAATAATTCTGCAGCAGACATTCTTTTGCCCTCAGGCAGATATCTAGAAATATTTTTTAAACCAGGGATCTTAACTTTCTGTTACTATTGTAACTGTTCTTATAATATATTTTGATTTTTAGTTTTTTACTGATGAAAACTAAATTGATTTTGCATGGGGAATTTTATCCAGCCAACTTGCTGAGTTCTTTTATCAATTCCATTGTTTATTAGTTGATTCTCTTAAATGTTCTAGGAAGAATGTTATCTTTGTAATCTTTGAGCCATTTTTTTCTTTTGCTATTTTAGTTTTATTCTTTAGTATAACAATCAATAATAGAAATGGTCAAAGAAATTCTGTTCTTTCTGCTGTTACTGAGCATGTGTTCAATATTTCATTATTAAATGTGATTTTTGCATCAGTTTTTACCAGGTGGTACTTAATGAATTAAGAAACTTTCTACTTCTCATTTTTTGAGTTGTTACCATGAATGTATGTAGATTTTATAAAATTCTTAACCAACATCCATGAAAACAATCATATAATTTTCTCCTCAAATCTGTTAACAAAGAGAGTTACCTTGATAGAGTTTCTCATTTTGACCCATCTTTTCAATGCATGGATAAGCTTTCTTGGTCAGTATATCATAAAGTATTGCATTCAGCTACTAGTATGAGAGACCTGGCTATGGTGAATTATACACATGAGGGCTCATATTCCCGACATAATCAGGTCTAGAGTAAAGCAGTTGCTGGCACTGGTTCAGCAATTTAAGGATATAAGAGGGGAAATCTCTGTCTTCTTGTTTTTCCTTGTAATCCCAAGATTACCACTAGAAATGTAAGCATCATGTCCTCATTAGAGGCAGGAAAAATGAGGTGGGGAGTTGCTTGGAAGGGATTTGAGTAATGGTAGTTTCCCAGAAGTCCTAACCCCAAGTTTCTCTTTGCATTTTGTTATCAATTCAACCTCCAAAAGATTGAGAGAAATATAATTTTTAGGCTCGTTATATTAGTCACTGGATTAAAATGAGGGGTTTGTTACTAGGGAAGAAGGAAGCTGAGTATTTAATAGATAGCTGATTATCCTCTCTATGTTTGTAATACATCGTCCTTTTAACACATTACTTGATTTGATTGGCTAATATTTTATTTGTAATTCGGCACTATCACTGGTACAACCCCTTAGAGCTTATTCAGATTTCACCAGTTATACACACATTCATTTATGTGTGGGAGGAAGGGGGTATAGCTCTACGCAGTTCTAGCACATGAATAAGTAATCACTACAACAATCAAGATACTTAATTGAACCATTATGATAAGACTTCTCTCTTCAAGTTTTTTACAGCCACACTCACTCCTGCCTCTGCATCTTAACCTTCAACAATCACTAATTTGTTTTGCATCCATGTGTTTGCTACTTCATGAGTGTTATATGAATGGAACCATGCAGTATATATCCTTTTGATATTAGATGTTTTTCTCAACATAATGTCCTTTACGTTCATGCAAGTTATTGCAGCTTTCAATAGCAAGTTATTCCTGAGTAGTATTCTATGACATAGATGCATCTTACTTTATTAATCATACAATAATTAATTAGGTGTAGGACATTTGGATAGTTTCTGGTTTGGGACTGCTGTATTAAAGCTGCTAAGAATATTCATGTCCAAGTTTCTACAAGGAAAAGAGTTTTCATTACTTTGGCATATGTACACAATACATATGCCGTTTCTAGATCATATGGTAATCCATTTTTTAATTTTAAAGGGAACTAGGAGACTCTTTTCCAGAGTGCTTGCAATATTTTATATTCCTATTAGAAATGTAGGAGCGATTTGGTTTTCAACATTCTCACCAATATTTGGTATTATCACTATTTTTAACTTGGTTCTTCTGACAGTCAGTTGATTTTAATTTGCATTTATTTAACTGACTAATGATGTTGAACATATTTTTATGCACTTATTTTCCATTTTCGTATTTTCTTTTGAAAAAAATGTCATTTCCAGTCTTTTGCCCTCTTTCTAATTTGATTGATGTTTTTTAAATATTGAAGTTTGAGAGTTCTTTATGTTCTAGATGCAAGTCCTTTATCAGGTATGTGCTTTACAGATATTTCTCTCACAGTGTGATGTGTTTTATTATCCTCTTAACAGAGTCTTCCACAGAGCAAAAAATTTAATTTTGACAAGGCTCAATTTATCCATTTTTAAAATTTTATGGATCATGCTTTTCGGTATCAACTCTAAGAACTCTTTGCTGGATGTCAGCAAGAATGGTGTAATAAGGAGCTCCAACAATCTTCTCCTTCTTAAAAGCAGTGATAACATACAAAATTGTCAAAATCAACATTTTCAGAAATGTGGAAACTAGCCAAAGACATTCAATAACCTGTATGTTGTTTATTCAAGAAAATTGGCTGAATCTTGATAATAACAGTGAACTTTGTGCTATTTTTACTTCTCATAGTCTCATGATTCTTCATCAACCCCACAGTAGATCTGAAAACCAATGCTCCACCAGCTTACTGAAAGCAACAGCTTAACAGCCTAGAAGGTGAAATAACAGAGTGAGATCACATTTAAAACCCAATTCCCAGGTAAGTGTCATTATTCAACCTGTCTGGCAGTTTTCTGGGCAATCCTAACAGTAAGGCTTATCTTTCTTTGGCCTGACACAGAGCTGGCCCAATGTAGAGAGCCTTTTCCCTAGAGATATTTGTCAGAAACAATCAGCCATAATTGTTTAATGTCCCAGCTGCATAGGTAGCTATGGAAATTGACACAAACATCAAACAGATAAAAAATCTTAAAAGGGAAGGTTTTGAATGAGATATATGTAGATGACTTTGAAAAGCTCTGAAATATTCCTGGAAATCTGGAAGTCCATGTGCATGCAAAAGGCTCTGGGAACAGCTATGAAAGAGCTGAGAGGGCCCTAAGCTCTCCACCTCTGAATGTGAAGTTCTGCACAAATAGGAAATAAAAGTTAAGGTAGACTTGTAAACTTCATGTCTGAACATTAAATCAGTGCCTCCCCCAAACCACACAAAGACTTTGTTCATGATCTGAAAGACTTGTTGCTTCATGCATTAAAAGAAATCTTTGTCCAGTCAATAGCTAGCCATTAAGCTAACTGAGCACAGACTTCACTGGCCACACACTGAAAAGAATACAGACCAAAAAGAATTTATCCAGGAAAGCTGCTAAACAAGCAAACAACAAAAAGACAATGACAACAGCAAACAGCAACAATGACAAACTTTTTAATGTTTAAATGTCCAGTTTTCAAAAGAAATTAATAAAGCATGTAGAAAAATGAGAAAGCATGGCTCATACTTGGAGGAAAAAAATTCAATTGATAAAAATTTCCCCTGAGGGTACTAAGTCATTGGATTTACTGGACAAAAACTTTAAATGAGCTATTTTATATATGTTTAAAGAACAAAAGGAAACCATATCTAAAGAATTGAAGGAAAATGTGCATCTGTGCGTATCTCATAAATTTTTGTTCTACTCCAGACATTGTGTATACAAGGACAATGGAGACTGAGTGTAGGATTTTGCAGAGTTTTTTTTTTTTCTCAGAGACTATGAAAGTCTTTCTTCTGTGGTAGCTAAGATTATTATTGATTATTTAAATTCTTCTTAAGAGTCAAGTTGATCTTATGCTATTCCTTAGTTTTGATTAGCTTAGTTTCTCCAGTTGAGTTCTCTGCATCTAACCTCTCTCACATATCTGCTTTTCAGTATAGTCACTTTTTGACCTGGGAGAGGGTAGCTGTACTTTTCAGTCATTTAGTTTACCTTGGAATTCAACTTGGTTAGGATCTTAGAATCCAATTATCACATGAATGCATGAGACAGTGTCCCTCCACTTTGAACCCCCTTTCCACTTTTATTTTCTTTGTAGAATTTGGGAGGAGAGAGCATTTGTTGATAAGATTGCTGGACTAATCAATTCATTTGGGCAATTAGGGCTCCAGATCTTAATATGTTTCCCTAACCCAGTTGACTCCTCCTCATTCCTGATGCTGAGGAAGACTGAGGGCAGGAGGACAGAGGATGAAGTGGTTGGATGGCATCACCAACTCAATGGTTATGAGTTTGAGAAAACTCCGGGAGACAGTGAAGGACAGGAAAGCCTGGTGTGTTGCAGTCCATGGGACTGCAGAGTTGTACGCGGCTTAGCAACAGAACAACAGCAATTCATCTCAAGCAGACTGATTTTTGACCTGCCTCAACTCAGGCAAGATGTTCACCTCCAGCTGTAGAATTTTCCTCAGCTCCGTACACAGCTGTGCAGGTTTATTCTTCACTAAGAAGTGGCTATTGCTGTTGGTGTCACCACAGAAGGAAAATTATATCACAAGCATCCTACATGCTAATCAAAAGAGAACTCTCAGTTTACTTATTGTTTATTTTTCTATTTTCTAATATATTTAAGTTCTACATTTTGTCTCAAGGCTAGAATATCCCACACTGTTTATACATAAGTAGTTAGCCATTATTTATTCTAAATCTAAATGTTAACAATTTCATTTTGATGTTCTCTTTGACCCACCACTTTTTTCTCAAGTTTATTTTATAACATTGCTATTGCACAAGATGTTTGGCTTTCATTTTGTTGTCTGAGTGACTGAGCACACACACATCAGACCTTTATATTTGTTGCATTTTGATCAAGGCATACAACTCATTGGTTGTTTCTCAATTTTTGGAATAATTTTTCAAGCTCATTATGATTCTAGCACATGATTACGTTCGTCTTTTAAAATTCTTGAATGTTTAAAAAACTATGGCATCGATTTCATGTGCAAATAATTCTGAGTAACTACCAATTAGGTCAAGCTCATTTATAATATCTAAAACATCTAGAGTTTTATTTACTTCATGGTTATTAATCTGAGAGAGATTTTAAAATCTCAATATAACTTTTTTCGGTCATTTATTTCATTGCATTTTATGAGTTTATTTTGTAAAGACCATGGCTATTGTATTATTTTAAGGCATTGGGTTCCTTTTATGGAAAAAAAGGATGCATTACCTTGATCCTTTTAATGCTTTGTACCTTAGGTTATTTTCTCTATGTTAGTACTTGCTAGATTTTTTTTTTCCATCATCCTGTGTCACTTTGTTTCAGACATGTGTCTGGTAAATAAAATGTAGCTTTATTTCTGACACAAACAAGAAATATTCTTAAGCCAAACACTATTTATTGTTATTGTTAATTTATTTGAACTTATTCTTGCCATTTTGTTTCATGTTTCATGTTTACAGTACTCTCTTTTTCCTTCTCATTTTTAACATTTCTGTCTTTTATTGGCCTGATTACATTTTCTTTGTTCCATTTACTTCTCCGTACATTTTACAGGCCATTTCTATAATAGTGGTTTGCTTTAAAATGTTAATACACACGCAGGATCGGAATTTTTAATACATCAAGATTTAATCTGTTTTCAGTCTCCCTCGTATACTTGTATGCCATCTTGAAGCCAGATGTCTTTCCCAGATATGTGAGGTTATACTTCGCTGAAATTTGGGGGGAGATACATTTTATTCACATGTCAGTAATCATTTATGCCTTTAAAATTCTCTTCCTCAGATCTGCATTTCAGCTCCCAATGCTTTGCTGACTTTGTCCTTTGGTTCCTGACCTGGTAAAAATGGCAGTGAGATAAGAGGGAAATGTCTCACCCACTTAGTGAGATAGATATTCTGAGCCAAAATTGTGGCAATTAATAAAAAGGAAAGGAAATGAGTAAGTAGTTTGACAAACAAATTTTCGGGTTAAGATAATTACTTGCTACATGCTTAAAATTCAGCAGGAAAATGTTTCAAGGAAAATATATCTTTCCTGCAGGTTGTACATAAGAATGACTGTGCAACAGCCCTAATATTCTAAGAAGTAACCCAAAACTGAGAGATTCAAGATACATTTACCAAATACCTATGACAGTCCAAGGACTGTACTATGGCTGGTTGTATGATGTAAACAAAACAGGCGTGGTTTAATAAGTACATAAATGCATTTGTAACAGGATGCCCCAGCAGAGACAGGATGTTTCAAATTTTCTACTCTTTTCCATAAAGAAAGATGCCAGAAAAACAAAGCAGAATCATGGAAGAAAGTGCTTCCTTTCCCTAAACAATAAAGTTGGGGATCTCAGAAGCAAGGAATTATTCTATTCAGTTTCCTGGGGGAAAATAATTAGACCTTTTGGTTCTAAGGCTTGAGAAAAAATGGTTGTCTTCTAAAGCATGAATTCCCCAGAGGCATGTTAAAATACATATAATCCCACATTCTCCGCTCCCCTCCCACGGCAAATGCACGTTCATCAGACTTACTAAAGGAGCTCCTTTTCAGTAGTGGAGTTGATGTCTGTGCATACCAAGACAAAGCTTACTAGATGTTAGTCCTTCGGAAATGTTTAGACTGAATAAAAGGATGAAAAATGAAATGGATATAGCACTATTTAAAGAGTATCAAGTTAGCACATGACTGCAACATGAAATGGTGACAGGTGGGCCATGCCTTGCATTGATAAAAGATGTGCTTTCCGGGTGGGCTTATGAAGAGCTGTGAAAACAGGAATCATATATTTGTCGACATGAACAATTAATTAAACTAGTGTCGTTAGCAAATAATTAAACCAGGAAAACTAAATCCAATTCATTAATCATTTTAAATTAATTATGACAATGATGTTAATAGCAATTTATCATTTGCATTTGCATGAACATTTTAGAAAAGACGTATGTATATGTCCCCAGACTTTGAAGTTGTTGCTCATAAGAGGTAATATGAATCAGAATCTCCCTGGGAGAAGAGACTTAAATGTAAATTATTGAGTCCCACCCCCAGAAATTTAAATTCACTAGTTGTGAAAGAGGCCCATGAACCTGGATTTAACAGCCTCTCCCCTCCCTGTATACACACACAGAGAAATGATCATTCTGAGGCAATTTATTGGGTAGATAACATTTGAAAACCATTTTGCAAAAGCAAAACATTGATAAAAATAAGAACTGTTACATTATCATGAGTTAGCATTTGTTTGAATATTTATATTTTATTTTAAAATATTTCATTGTTAGACAATGAGCTTTAATTATGTATAGATAGTTGTTGTTTAGTCACAGAGTCATGTCCGACTCTTTGCAACCCCATGGACTGCAGCACACCAGGCTTCCCTGTCTTTCACAGTCTCCTGGAGTTTGCTCTGACTCATGTCTGTTGAGTTGGTGGTGCTATATAACCATCTGCTGCTGCTTCTTCTTTTGCCTTCAGTCTTTTTTTTTTTGCCTTCAGTCTTGCCCAGCATCAGGGTCTTTTCCAAGGAGTCGCCTCTTCACATCAGGCGGCCAAAGTAATGAAGTATCAGTCATGTCCAACTCTTTGCAACCCCATCGACTATAGCCCACCAGGCTCCTCTGTCCATGGAATTCTCCAGGCAAGAATACTGGAGTGGGTAGTCACTGCTTTCTCCAAGGGATCTTCCTAACCAAGGGATCAAACCCGGCTCTCTGGCATTGCAGGCAGATTCTTCATTGTCTGAGTCACAAGGAAAGCCCTCAAAGGAAAAGAAAGTAAGGAGTT